GGGCCAAAGGCAAGTTTATTTGCAAGAGCTGGAGACTGGGGAAGCGGGGTTAAACAGGAATGCTCAGATGATCATTCTTCCAAGTCCTCTAGTAACACAGGCTGAAACAAGCCACAAGAGTTAAGTGTAACATAACACAAATTGGTTGCACTATTGGCACAAGTTGAGCTCTTTAGAACTTTAATTTATTGTTTGCTCCTTGCTGCACTTGCTTCTGCTCCCACTGAAAGCAGTGGGAATTCTGCTACCGATATCTTCCATAAAATGAGCCCTTTTACATGAGCCAATGGAAGTTCCTTCATAAGCAAGGCCTGCATAAGCAGGACGGAAATGACAAACGCGCACAACAGAACATTGTGAGAACAGAACTATTTTTGCAAGATAGTTTAACTTGTACTCACTAGAGCAACTGCATCTTTTCTGGATGCTCAGCATTATTCCCCCAACAGTCACATAAAACACTAAGTTGTATTTATTTTGTTGGCATCTACGACGTTTCTGGTAAGACCAACACCTTAGACCTTGGCCTAAAACACTAATAGTTTTAGGTTAAAGTGGACTGTGCAGTTTGCTTGCCTTGATTTTCTCTTTCTTGGATCGTTTTCACCTCTGAGCTCTGATTTTTCTTGTTCACATGGCATTAAGAAATGAGCAGGGATCAGGAAGCGATAGAAGAGAATGAGGGAAAGTGGCTGCCAATTACTGGCTCCAGAAATAAGAACCCAGGGAGAAACTAGACTGACATTTCTGAACCTCTCTCAGAAAAGCTGAAAAAGCTATTGGGACACCATGAAGTTTAGGACCAACAGTCTCTCGAGGTGAACTGTGAATGGTAGTAGCTGCTTGTGTGGTGGGAACGAAATCCCAGCAGGCGCCGGCTCCACGTCATAGCAGCTGGAGGTCAAGCAATCTGTATGAGCCCTCAGAGCTAATGCAGTCTTGTCTTGGCAAAATGAACTAGATATGGAGCAGTTTTGTCATTCACGACAGCAGGTCAGAAGATAGGCTATGAATAAGAATTCGGCAATGTCAAATTTATAATTACAAAAAGGTCCTAAATCTCTATGACAAAGCACTGAGGAAGGCCCAGCGCGAAATGAAGCCACTTAGGCTTTCCTCCGTTGGAGGTGTTCTTCCCTCCCATCCTGCTAAAGGTTAAAAACGCAGGGGCATTCACCTATGGCTAGTTAAATCTTACCTGTAAGGTTACCTAAACCTTGAAGAAAAAGAGAAAAGAAACTAACATTGAAGTCTAAAGCAAAAAATGGAAGTGCTCACTCCTACAATTTCTCTAGCACAACTGCTTGCTTCTTCCTGTCCATTTTTTTTTTAAGTTTACTTTAGAAAACAGACCCATGAAAAGGTAGGACATAACTAGGGGGTCACTACCCTATGAAAGGTTTTGCTATCAGAGAAATCGCAACTGGAAGCACAGCCACATGACCATCAAATAGCAAACCTGGGCTGGCGTAACACACAGAGCAGGGCCAGCTCAGTACTTTGCCACTTCTCTTTGCACTGCGCTGGAGGAAGTGGACTCTTTTATACTGTTAAATCAGGGATACTGCAGGGCTGTTGCATAACTCCAACAGATATAACAGGATCCCAAAGATGATGGGAGACCTGATGTTCTCAATTAATGAGGAAAATCTATAAACAAGCAGAGATGAATGGCAGTGATGAATCCCCTCCACATTCCTGAACTCCAACCACTGACAAAAGGAAAACAAACAAACAAGAAAGCCCTTCAGATCTGAAGCAAATCAGAAAAATATGTCTTCTACGAGCTACTCTAGTACCTGCAAGGACTAAATGAAGAAAGTAAAAGCAAATCCATGGAACGACATCACTGGATGACTTCTCAGCTTCACTTATGTGTTGTCCAAGCGCATCCAAGCGCCCTCTGTAACTATTTTCAGTATTTTTTATGTGCTCTCTGTGTGAAAACGAACTGTGCTTATTTAAATCATCTCTAAAAGTTTGGCAAATATATTGAAGTAGAAATCAGTTCAACCCTTTTATTTCCATGTCAATTTATTTAGAAAAACATTCATTTAAGGAATGCAAGTTAGGACTCTTGGTACAGTACTAGGTATCATCTATGCTACCATTCATTCTTTTTAGCTGAATGATTAAAAAAAAATACATACAGCTTTAGAATAATTTCACTTGCAATTATCTTGATCATAATACCCAAACAAACAGCAAACAACTAAAAAACAATGCTAAAAAACAACACAATCTCTTACTTTGCTTGTTTGGTGCTTTGAATGATACAGTTGAAAGATTTTAATTTCTTTAGAAAACCTTTTGTAGGACTCACCTATGCTGTACTATTGTTTAAGTAGCATCCCTAAAAACGGTTTGATGGTTTTATGTGGAAGAGGCTAGAACGTAAAGAAGAATGGTATAGCCCTGCGGTGAGATGTTGTGGTACGATTTCCTACCACTCTGTGCACTAACTTCAGTCACATCCACACAGGTGAAACCAAATATACAGTCAAGCCGGGACAGTAAAGTGTTTTAAAACGATGTAAACATGGCCAAAGAAATAGCATACACTGGGTATTAATATTATACATGCCAATATTCAGGAGAGAGGACACATACGCACTAAACAAGCACTTTTAAATACTTCCTGGCCTGTGCAAAAGTTGCAATTATTGTAAAAGAACGCCACCAGAGGCTGATATTCACCAGCAGCCTGACATTGCTCGTATCCACAGCGCTGCTCTTCGGGCTGCCTGGGAGCCTCCGGGTGCCTCCTCGGCTCTGGGCCGTGGGGAAGCTGCGAGAGCTCAGGCTGTGCGGAGGCACCTGCCTGGGCACCTCCGTTTCACCCCCTTCTCCCCGCTTAGGAGTGAGCGCGGTCCAGTAAGGGTGCAAAACCGCAGGGTACTGAGCCCTACGACCCAGTGCAACAAAGCACTTGAGGATATTTGATTTTGTATCTTCTTTATCTTCGTAGGGAGAAACTAATTAATAATTATTAGTAACAGCAAATACTGCTGTTAACTGCCGTACACCTTCAGCTAAGATGCAAGTAAGCCTGAGATACGTAATCTTAACCTATTCTCCATTTCTCATGTGAAACGAAGTCTGCCCACAGTTTGTGCAATGAATCACACCCAAAATAAAAGCGGTCACACTTCCAGGAGAAAAGCTTACACCCCCTTTCAACCTGAACGCAAAACAAGCCCTCCCAAAAGGTTTTTCTTGTCGTCTGTTTGAACACCGGGTGTTCACCATTAGTGAAACGTTCAGGTTTTTATAACAAGCTACTATAGCTATTTCTCACATGTAAATTTTAACCCATATTGTTTAACTAATAAGAGAAGAGCTGCCTTTTCATTAGGCTTTAAGTGACTTAAAGCAGCCTGAAGGAAAAAAGCTGCAGTCTTCCTGTAAAACATTACTACAGCCTTGACAAATATCTAGATATTTGTTGTTCTTTGAAATTTGGAAGCTCAACAAGTTTCCAAAATAAATGAGTCCCTTTTTAATAAGGGTTTTTCATTTTTGTTGTAGCATACAGCAGTTTATTATATTTTAAAAAATGGAAGTTAAGTTGCTTTATCTGTGTATTATCTACACATGTAAAAGCTATTCAATAGCAGCAAGTGACAATTTGGGGGGGGAAAAAGGGACCAGGAGAAAAAAAAACCTACCCGTACCAAAAGACTATCAGAACTAAGTTTCAGTCTACTTTGCCTGTAAGTTTGCAAAATAAAAGTAACTGAAAATTTATATCTGTAGTTATGTAACATCTGAGAGGTCCTTCAGAAATGTGAACACTTGCTATAAGTTAACATCTTTAAAAGAGGTAGGACATGTACCACTGTTGATGTGGTGTCCTCCTCTTTTTCATAAAAGCAATAGATGAAAAAATAAGATGCAGTAGTTAAGATCAGGGGAACAAGAATTTGGCTTAAACAGTCTTTGCTTATACTAAGTAAACTACAAATGGAAAATCTGTCACTTGATATCAAAGGGGTTCTGTTCTGTGTATACAGGACTCAGTTCTACAAAGCTTTACTGAACAACGCGGTCACCCTTTTGTACTTCAAATGCCACCTACTCTTCAAAATTGCTTTAACTGAATTTAAAATTACAGGACAACAGCTCCATGCACTGTGCTAGTTTCTGTAAGTCAAGCAACCACAGACTGCTCAGGATCCCTCTAGAGCTTTTGGCAGAAATGAATGCTCCTGAACATAGGAGAATAAGGTCATTCTCGGGTTCTAGAAAAATTGCTGGTTTCTATTTTGTGTTGTAAATAAAAACTATCAACCAACTCACTAATCCCATCAAACTCACTCCGTATGACTTTGCTCAGTGATAATAAGAAATCAGATACTGAAACGAGAGGCTGCTTCTATAGGTATAGACACCAAATGATGAACAAGTCCTACGTTAGAGAAAAATCTGGCATGCACCTTCAACACTGTACACAGAAATCAAAGACAAGGATTGTTAAAAACTATACAAGGAAACATTGCCTTTTTTAAAAAAGGCATATGGAAATACACTGATTACTAAAACACATTATTCACAACTTGTCTGAACTAAACTGGTTTACATCATCAGGAAAATGCCAAAATAGTACAGAACATTTCTTTTTTATTTTTCTCTTAAAAAGCAGAGAGTGCCACTCTGTCAAAGATAAACTGTTGCTGTATCTAAACTTGTGTCAGTCTTCTTGTGCTTTCTGTTGTTCAGGGATATAGAACACAGGATTGTATTTCCTGCTAAACTGTTTACAGTAATCAAATGGTTATATAAAATATTCTTTTTTTCTCCACCCAATTCATTATGGGGCTACTAAAATTACAGTAACAAGGTGTAAAAGGTTCAAAGAAATTCCTGTGAGAACTACTTTGGTTATTTTATGAACCAATTTGGATTTTCCTTTTAGTTCATTTATGTTCCCAAATATATATACTGTATCTTGAGTAGAACAACTGCAAGAAAACAGTCTAAAAAATAAGACATGGAAACTGAGGTGGGAGGAGGTCAGCCACCTTTCTACTTCCACTTTTTTTTTTTTTTTTTAAATACCACCATTCAAGCAACCCAATGTACTCTACAGTCCCCAAACCCACACCAAATTGCTTTGCTTTGCTGTGCATCTTTCCCTGCAGGTTTTCACACCGGCTTCTTCAGACAGAGCATCTGGAGACTACAAAAGCATTACTTGGACTTTTCCACCAGTTGAGTTTATTTGTGTGATGTTTTTTCCAGATTTGGAAGTTTTTCAATCAGTGCTTTATGGTTCATGTTGATACTGGCTATAAGTCCTCCCTCATTGCCATCTGAGCCAGTGTAACTAATTTCTTCACCAGCCAGGGTAGTCATATGGCCACCCAATGCTCTCAGCACAGCATTTCCAGCACATATGTCCCACTTCTTAATATAAGTGACATGAATATACACATCAGCTTCTTCTTGATTCTTTTCAGGAACATCAAGGAGAGCCAACACTTTGTAACCTACAAAAAAAAAAAGGGAAGAAGTAACATGAGTTATCAAAACATGAAGCTTCCCAATTCATCACAAAAGATAAATCTAGTTAGTGTTAACAGTATGTACCTGGAAGAGTTAGGAAAATTATGTTCTTAACTCTATCATGCTAACTCCCCACAACAGTGGAGGCACCAATAAGCTTAAAAAACAAAAATCAAAAGTTTTCTCCTGAATCAGTATTGAAGCTTAGGGTATTTTGGACATGTTCTTTTTTAGACAGCCTTCTCCAATGTGCTACATATATTTAGAGACACCCCAAAAGAACAAGACTATCAATTAAAATACTGTTTTGCTCTTGGGCTCACTCCCCTCAATCATCCATTGTGTAGTCCACAAGTCACTGTTCATAGTCAGCATTCCTTATTTTATAGAAATTTTTCAATTTTTCAACCAACATCTTTGTTTTATTAAAATTTTCCTCCTTTTCTTTTTCTTCTTATACAGAGTCAAAGTTAGGGAACAACTAGTATCATCAGTTACAATTTCATCTCCTCTGACAATGAATCTACACAAATTTTCTTGTGATAGCAGAGGAAATATAGAGCTTCCTTTTAGAAAGTTTAATCCATAAGACCATGCCAGAGCTATTCACCTATGTATGATCTTATGGACTAAACTTTCTAAAAGGAAGCTCTATTCTTCATTAAAGGCATGGAAAGATACACTTTCATAAAATTCAATTTTTTCATGGATTTTACAATGCTTATAAGTAATTACTACTTCACATTGGTGCCTTGAATATTTGCATTCTGACAATAGCATGTACAAAGATATTGTTTAAGTTTAAAAACAAACAAAAACATACTAGTAGTTAATTAACAGCCAACAGATTCCTTATGCGATTCGATATTTGGCCACATATTCCTTTTCCCTCCACAAACACACCAGTGCCTTCAGCAAATGCACATTAGTGCACTTAGTGAAGGGACCAAAATAATACTGGAGGTCCAAGATTAGATTTAAATATTCAATAACCTGTGAGTAGCTTGAATCGTGAACAGGTTTTCATGTAGGGGATTGTGTAAAGTGCTCCTCCTGCCAAGTGCTTGCTTTTTGGGGTCTGAAGAATAAAGGTAAGAAGAAAAAGGGGGCATTCTGCAGTGGCATCCTTTTGTCTAATATCTGCTGTGCACTTAAACCAGCTGGAAGCAATATAAGGGACAAGATGCTTAAGGAACCAAACCTGCTCCACCAGCGGGGATTATCACAGTTTTATTTCCAAATGTCTGCCGTGCAACCTGCTCGACTTTTCCTGCATGAGAACGGGATACAATAATCCTTGGGGTTTTCTCATTGTAGGACGAACGAGCTTTTATATTTGATCCGCCATCCACCATTGCCCAGGCTACAACAGAAACAAGTTCTGGTAAGCTTTATGAAAGGCAATCTCTGCTGTTAAGGGTAAAGCTAAAAAGGTACGTTATCCCTTAAAATTAAAGTGATGCCTCTGAATTAATTTTCCTCCCCGCTGCTAGATATAGCAGTGAAAGTTGGGGCTGACAGAGAGGAAGCCCGTAAGTAGAAAAGAAATAGGGCCCACACCTACTGCATTATTGCCTCATTACTGCACTGCATTATTCCACACCTGGCTATCCCCATGCAAGAATGAAAAACAGAACAAATAAACAAACCCCACAGTAAGAGGAGAAAACCCCAAGTAGTAATAATCTGGCTACGCAATTGTAAAGCCGCCAAAGTTAACAGGGTGGCTTTGAGTCTGAAAGATACTCAGTATTTCCTTAAACAACCTAGTTTTAAAAACAAAATAACCCTACTTTGCAAAAATATTATAATATCACTTGAAGTCATTTTGTTCAGAAAGATCGTAATAGCAAGGAAAAGTATGAAAACATTTTACAAAGTGTGTGGAGGACTGGATTTAGAATACACAATCTTCCTCTTGTTTTATTATGAGGTTCAAAGCTTAACTTGGTAGGTGGCATCCCCCAACCACTAATTTGACACTTACTTAGCAGCCTAACCAGCAATTTCGTCTCACTAGAGGGCCAAACTGTATAGCAACAGACTAAGCTATGTGTAATAACAACACTGACTGTCCTTCCTGCTTTGTGGGGTACTGTTAGGAACAATCTACTGAAAATAGATCCGTATTTCCAGCTTGGAAAATGAATATTCTTCATGTGGAATGACAGATTCCTTGTATCGCATCTGATATCATGTCTGGTGACATCAGATTATTACTATTAAAGGAGATAAATTCTCAAAATTACAACCTTCTAAATTTTTTTTCAGATATTATATGATACTTAGAATAAATGTTTCAAAAGGTTAAGGTATTTAAAGAATATCAAAATACAGCACATATTAAAATGATTGGGATTTAAGCCATCATTTAAGGAAAGCAAAGTATTTAGTACAAAACACTGAATGCTCAGTAGACAAAAAAAAAAACTTAAATCCAACAAAAATACATTTAATTAAACATTCTTAGATCCTTTATCAGAGTTAACTTCACAACTCTAGAGGTCAGTATTGCCTAAGGGGAAAAATGAGAATAAAAACTCTAGCTTCAACCATATAAGATGTGAACACTAAAACGATTTTGAATCATTCAGAAGTGCTGTATATATACTGCCAAACTAACAGCCATCCTCACTGACACACTGTTAGTATCAAAGAATTAATCAGGTCAGGCTCATGAACTTTGCAGCATGTCAGGCAGTCAGCAAGGCCACAAGGAACAGTCCTTCCAGAAGCTAATACACAGTTGTCATTAATACCTTTATCTGCCTTTGTTATTTGCAGTGAACAAACACCAGCCCTTGGGCACAATTTCACAGACCCAAATACTTCTACTGGATGAGCTGGATGAGCAAAGTGCTATTCGTTAGAGAGTAACAACACACAAAAGATCTGTATGTGGGAATTTTTTGGGGGGGGTTTTGTTATAAGCACTCTGTTGAAAAGATTTTAATTGTCAAACACTTTTTCAGGTTTTTTAATGCATCATTTTTATGCTACACATGGACAACATTTTACATTCTGGCTTTATAGCACAGAACAAATTTGCTGCTCTGAGGTCTACAACAGTGTTATCTTGCACCAGGTTTATTTTTAATTTATGCCTACATGTGTTCCATCAAACATCAAATTTTAACTAGCATTGTCACTGAAGATACCAGAAACAAGTGAAATTATAAAAGTACCTGTATATGCTGAGAAAGGCTTGTGTATCACTCCTATTACAGGTTTACCATTTACAGCCACACAAACCATAGTTGTGACATACTGTCGAAGATCCTCTGTGGGCAAAATGAGTAAATAAAGACATTCACAATCAGATGTGAAGAACAAAAAAAAAAAAAAAAAGGAAAAAGGACCCAAGAAAGACATAGACATCTTTGAAAACTAGCTGGCACTCCAAAATCACCTTTTACAATTTTGCATCTTCAAGTAATCCTACAGTTACCAAAAGACTTAAAAGACTTTCTACTTTTCTTCCTCTTCCATAGATATATCCTATACTCACAGTAGATCAAATGTTAAGGAGATGTAAATGTTAAAAAAGTAGAAGACTCAATTTTATATAGAGAGATATATAGATATAGACATAAAAAACCCTTTGTATCTCAAGTACAATATTCATTTATCCTTTCCTTTAGAGGAACCAATAATATTCCAAGATACTTAGTGCTGTCACAATAGCAACTACAAATATACAATGAAACGTGTAACCCCAGCTAAATCCATAAATGACAGTTACCATTTGTTTTAGCAATTACTTAGTTACACAGAATGATTAAGTAATTTCAGAGTTGGCAATAGGAAAGTAAACACTAGGCTCTGACTACTACAGAAGTTTTGTTTTACAAGCTGTTCAGACAAAGCACACTAGCTTTGATATAGCAAGTATATAGTATATATGCAATGTACTTTAGCAAGAGCTGCCATTCTGAATACAATTTTGTTTCAGGTACAAAAGGCAGACATCAGTATTACACACATGAACTGTCAACAAGAATCAGTTACCTGTGTATTCTTGTGTGGCATCTAACGGATCAATCCAGACAGTAACACTTTCTGCTGGAACCTCTTTAGACTGTATTTTTTCCTTTATATCTTCAGGAATATTACGATCCCAAGAGACTGTCTCCTGATCAGTTGCATCAACATGTTCTTCAGAATTTATCTGTGATAAGACAACAAAAGTGGATGCATTAACTCAACAAATGCAGTAACTGAGGTACTTGGAAGACGAAAAGTTTGCTCTTACCTTTGCTTTCTCCTTTTGCCTCAAGCTAGAACAGCATGAATTGGACATTTTCCGCAGTGATAAGCTATTAACCTCACCTGGCAAGCAATAAAAAAAACTAGAATTCTAAATTTTGCTCTGAACCACAGAATAGTTGGACATAATTTGTTTGGCTACAGTTTTTCTTACTGAATGTTCTCACAGTATGAATTGAATTTTAAAAATCAAACGTTAAACACAGTTACTTCAAGCATCACAAGGAGAACATTTCATCCTGGATAATAATCAAAAGGTATAAAGATATAGTAACAGTTTAATACTCCAAACAATGTTTTATCCTATATACATATATATATATATAACACAGATGCAGATTCAAATGTGCAAGTAATTCCCTAATAAATAGTTTACAAACTGTAGCATAACGTAGAGAAG